GTAGGTTTGGTGATTTAAATTAGCTGCTAGCTTGACAATTGATAGAAGTATATCATTACACGAGAATTTAAATATTATATATGACATTTTCCTTCATACAATATTTTTCCTTTTTTTTTTTATTTGAAGTCTTTTTGTGGATTATTCGGTTTTCTAATGATCACATATATAAATATTTTTATATTTCAAATATCGTATTTTAAACTATAATATTTGGCAAGTCATGATTCATAATACTCTATAATCTTTTTTTTTTTTTTGGGGGGGAAATTTGTACATAGAGCATTGTATTTGTGGGCATAGACTTGTTAGTATTGATTTACACGAAGATACGTAAAATCAAGGGTGAGATAGTTTTATTTGTTCTTTGATATTGTGTTTGTGTAAACTTGACACAAAGGGCTACATACATTGACTCCAAAACAAACTCCTAAATAAAAACGCGTTTTGGCCATCAAAATAAATATCCATTTAAATTATTAAACCCGAGCATCCTTGAAGCATCGCCTAATTCGTTGAGCATCAAAATCAAATCCCTCGACAATGGCAGCTAATTCTTCTCCGGCGATCCTCCCCATCTCCAACCCCCAATCTGTCCCCGCCACCCCTGCCGACAACCACCAACTATCTCCCCCCGCCCCTCCCTCCGCCGTACGCGCATTCTTCTCCGGCATCTTCTCGACTGTGCGCGGCGGCCTAGCCAACCGCCGCCCCTGGACGGAGCTCCTCGACCGATCCGCCTTCTCCAAGCCGGAATCCGTCTCGGATGCCACCCTCCGCCTCCGTAAGAACTACACCTACTTCCGCACCAATTACCTCGTTATCATAACCGCCGTCCTCGCCGTCTCCCTCCTGACGAATCCCTTCTCCCTGGTCCTCCTCGCCGGCCTCCTCGCCTCCTGGCTGTTCCTCTACGTCTTCCGCCAGTCGTCAGATCCGCCGATCAATCTCTTCGGCCGTCAATTCTCCGATCGCGAGACGCTCCTCTTCTTGATCTTCTCAACCGTCGTCGTCATCTTCCTCACCAGCGTCGGATCCGTTCTCGTGTCTGCCCTCATGGTCGGAGTCGGTATTGTCTGCTTGCACGGTGCTTTTAGGGCTCCAGAAGATCTGTTCCTTGATGAGCAGGAGCAGCAGGGAGGTGCTCCTGGATTCCTTTCCCTCTTCACCAATGGTGCCCCGGTTGTTGCGCAGCCAACCGTAGCTGCTAGGGTTTGATCTTCTGTCATTGTCTCAGGGGGTAATCTAGTAAATTTTATCTGTTTTCTGCTTTTCTTTAACAAGTTCCTTCGTTTTTCTTTTTCTAGATCTACTGAATGAATTTGTATGAATCTGATGGCCGAACTCTGATGCAGTAATATAATTACAGATATACATATATTTGCTTTAACCAATGGATGTCAATATTCATATATTAGATCCATACAGTTCACAATTTTCCTCGGCGGTTCATGGGGATAGTATATTGTTCCTTTGAGTGTTGTTATATCGTTTATTTCCGGGAGTCCTCTGCTTTTTGAGCAATTAGCTTCAATTTGATATTAATCTGCATTTTTGTGACTGGTGTTGCTTTAAACAGTGGAGCCTACCTTTGAGCCACCTTCCATGTAATTTGATAATGTTTATCCGACAGATTACCATACTTAACACAACCATTCATCCTTGCATCTTTGTTTTACTTTTCATATACATGTTCAGTGTTGTATGCCATTGTGATCATTTTCCAATAGAGGGGAACTGTAAATTCTTGCAAATTGATTGTATGAAAATTATGAGTATGTATGTTTGCCGTTTATTTAATTTGATTTCTCCAACTGTCCGTGGTCGGTTATTACCGAGCAAAGTTATTAGTATAAGATTCTGTGTGGTTTTCGAAGTTTCAAATCCGTTTGCAAAGCAACCTGTTTGATCAAATTAGATTTAGCTCTTCATATCTTACATGCTAATGGAACTACTCATGATTATCATTTTGGGGCATCTGCTCACATGCTGTGCCATATTTTTAGCATATTTATCATTCTTTTGCGTGAAGAAGTGTCGAGTTGTGGTGCGTGAAGAAGTGTCGAGTTGTGGTTATTAGCTTGTAGCTCAATTGGGTACATCTCACCGGGTGTTGATAGAGATTTTGAAGTTCGTATCTTTTTGTTTATTTATATCTATGATCATGAAACTGAGTGCATAATCATGTCACCAGCATTCATCATACTGAAAAAGGGAGCTGAGTCTATATTTAACTGCATGTTCCTGATAAATAGGAATTCCTTACTCTTTACAGCATATATGTGTATAATTTGACCAATGTCAAAGGTTTAGTTGAATTTCGTTTCATATCGGGCAATTTTATGTTGAAGAATTATGTGATTGTTAGTGGTGGGTTTGGTTGTTTTTAGGTCTGTGTGGAGGAGTTATGGAAGATGAGAAGTGCCAAAGAATCACTAGCAAGGGAAAATGGGCAACACTGTAAATGACAAATAGATACAAAATGGTGGAGATTTGACATCATTTATGCTTGTTTCATTTATCTTATTGTGTTCAATTTTTTTAAGTTAATATCAATCAAGTTGGAACATGAATATGAATATGTAGTGAAGAATAATTGACTGGTCAAAGTTCCTCAAATCAAGATAAATGCTTTTGGGGCTTAGTTCCCACCACCCCCTCCAAGACTAGGAGGATATGTGCGTGCCCGAAAGAAAGAAAAAGAGAATGTTAATATAACTAAACAAGGAAGGAGGATATGTTAACACGACTTGGGAAAGTTAAACCATACATTAGATTTGCGAACCAAATTAAAACTGGAAAAGCGCCCAAGCTATCTCTATTCTTGCATCTAATTACACTGCAAAAATTAAATTATATGAAAGCAGCAAGTTAGGCTAAAAGAGAGAACACAAAGATAACATGGAATCTATATATCTCTTCTTATGTTCAAAGTTTCAACATAATAAACGGGAAAAATTGACTCGCCCATCTACTTACTGACAGATAGATACAACACACAGTGGTACCCGCAAAGCCAAAGAATAAAACCATACTACGTAAATACCTACCGAAGTGATTAAAGTGTTGAACAAGTCTATTTAGTAAATACCGAAGTGATTAAAGTGTTGAACAAGTCAGTGAGTCAGTCAAAGGCTATCCAACGGCTGTCCAGTATTGATCCCATTACCAAACAAAGACCGAAAATAGCCGTTAGATTCTGTCCCGCGTCAAACACGGGCTCTGCATTTTCCACCCAAAATTACACAACAATAATATTAATGGCCCTCCCTCCCTCCCTCCCTCCCTCATAAATTATTAACAGAAAAACCCAAGAAAACTATCCGTTGTCACTACTAAAACCCAAACTCACAGGCTCTCTCTCACCCTCACAACACATGCCTTCCTTCATCTTAAAAAGACTAAAAGCACTGCCTCCCTCTCCCTCCCTTAATATTCTTCTCCCATAAAAAAATCCTAATCTCTCTCCATCTCTCTCTCTCTCTTTCTCTTTCTCTCTCTCCATAGTTCTTTAGTAAATTTTCTGCAAATCCTTCATTACTTTCTGATAATACAATACTAGTTATTCTGAATGGATGATTCATTCCATTTATTGTTTTTCCTTTTCCTGCTTCCATTTCTCAACATTTTTCTCGTTTCAGGCCAGCAATGGGATAACCTTATGATCGCTCAATCCGATTACAACGCCCTAAATGCCTTCAAACACGACCTTATCGACTCAAGAGGCGTCTTACGAAGCTGGAACCGAACCACCATTAATCCTTGCTTCGCCTGGGCCGGGATCAAATGCGTCAAACCCGAGTCATATCCATCCAGCTCCCTTGGAGAGGACTAAGCGGAACAATCTCCGAAAATATCGGCCAGCTCAGAGCCCTTCGTCGTCTTAGCCTCCACGACAATTTTCTCTCCGGCCCCGTGCCCGAATCCCTCGGCTCTCTCCCTAACCTTAGAGGCATACATTTGTTCAATAACCGCCTCTCGGGCTCCATTCCTCCTTCCATTGCTGCTAACTGTTTGCTTCTTCAAACGCTCGATCTTAGCAACAATCGGCTAACGGGTTCTATTCCTCCGAACCTCACTAACTCAACCAGGTTGTATAGGCTTAACTTGAGCTTCAACGAGCTGTCGGGCTCGATCCCCGTGAGCCTAGCTCGACTCGAGTCTCTCACTTTTCTTTCTCTTCAGAATAATAATCTCTCGGGTAGAATCCCAGACGAATTAGGCAGTCTTTTTCGACTAACGTCGATTGATTTTTCGAGAAACAATCTCATGGGTGAAATTCCAGCTTCATTGGTTACATTATCAAATCTATCTTCTTTTAATGTTTCGTACAATAATCTATCCGGCCCTGTCCCTTCATTTCTAGCTAAGAAGTTCAACTCGACCTCGTTTGTTGGTAACGTTCAGTTATGTGGATACACTGGCTTGAAGCTATGTCCTTCTCCAGGACCTGATAATAATAGTTCAACTTCCTCATCCCAAACGGGCCTCAACCATCAAAATCGTCGAACATTAAGCACGAGGGATGTTATTCTAATAGCAGCTGGTTCCCTTTTAATTGTTTTACTAATAATCCTCTGCTGTGTGCTTCTCTGTTTCTTGATCAGGAAAAGGGCAGCCTCAAAGGCAGCTAGCAAGGGCAAACCAAGAACTTCAGCCCCATCCAAGCCAGTCATGGAAACGGGAGCAGAGGCCGCCGGGCCGAGCCTCGACAATGGGGGCAAATTAGTCCATTTCGATGGCGACATTATATTCACCGCTGATGATTTGTTGTGTGCTACTGCAGAGACTATGGGAAAAAGCGTTTACGGGACGACTTACAAGGCGACTTTGGAGGATGGAGATAATACAGTTGCGGTCAAGAGGCTGAGGGAGAAGATCACAAAGCCACAAAAGGAGTTCGAGTCTGAAGTCTCGTTGCTCGGGAAAATCCGGCATCCAAATATCTTGGCTCTGAGAGCTTATTACTTGGGACCTAAAGGCGAGAAGCTTCTGGTCTACGATTATATGGTTAACGGGAGCCTTGCATCTTTCCTTCATGGTAAATGGTTTCGAACTTTTTACTTCTATTCACATGTTTAGGTAAAAAGTTTCGAACTTTTTTATTTCTATTCACACGTTTACTTCAAGTTACTTCACAAATGTGATGATTATTATTATGTATTAAGTTTATGTTCAAATATTTATGCAGCTAGAGGACCTGAAACGAGCGTCCCGTGGCCCACGAGAAAGGCGATAGCCGTGGGAATAGCCCGCGGGCTATCTTTCCTCCACACGGAGCAAAACATCGTGCACGGGAACCTCACGTCAAGCAACATTCTACTCGACCAGCACAACTGCCCGAAAATTGCTGAGGTCGGCCTCTCCCGCCTCGTCACCAGCGCCAATATCATCGCGACAGCTGGCGCAATGGGTTACCGGGCCCCAGAGCTTTCGAAACCGAAGAACTCGAGCGCCAAATCAGATGTCTTCAGCCTTGGCGTGATCTTATTGGAGCTCCTGACCGGAAAATCTCCGGGAGAGACGGGGGAAGGGCCCGACTTGCCCCAATGGGCCGCATCTACCATGAAGGATGAGAGCGCCAGTCGAGTATTTGATGGTGAGCTGTCAAGGGATGGCGCAGATGGAGATGAATTGCTCGGTGCTTTGAGACTGGCGTTGAATTGTGTGGACCCTTCGCCTGGGGTCAGGCCCGAGGCCCGAAATGTTCTGCAAGGCCTGGAGGAGCTGAGGCCGAAAGAAGAAGTTGTGGTTAGGCCGGCTTCCGGGGATGTTTGAGCATTTTTAGTTGTGTGTGTGTGTGTGTGTGTGTGTGTGTTTGTGTGTGTGTTCATCATATATATAGTATACAGCTATTTTTTGTTGCTTGTTCATTGATGTGTGGTTTAATAATATATCGTTGTAAGTGTATGTATATACATATCGTTGTAAGTCAAAGATATGATTTTTCTCTTGAACTATTGTGCGTTTACATTCACTTTATATTTTTGGCTGCTTTAATTAATATCTGCAGGGATTGATAAATTATAGAATCGTTCCATCTAAACATTTAAAACTTTTGAACACAAAGGAAA